AACGCAGGGCGCATGAGTTTCTGCTTGACATTGAACAAGGTCAGGCAACAATGTTGCTTCGGCTTTTGGCAACATATGTTGCCAGCGAAATTTGTTGCTTACGAAATGCGAATAGAAATTGTTGAAAACCGAAAGTCTTGTGGCGCGTGTGTAGAGTAACAAGGAGGGCTATATATTGTGCAAAAGAGACAGAAGGCTATCCAGCAATATGTAGATACAGATGAGAAATATTTTGCGTTGGCTTAATACTCAGTTTTTACTTGTATGACATTGACAGTGAGCCAAGGACTAGAATGGCATAAATGTCAGGCAATAGATTATACCAACTTATCACAAACGAATGTTTATTACAACAGCTATATTTCCCACGCCATATTTATAACACTTTGCTTGTACATGGAAAAAGCTATATTAAAACTATTAATGTAACTAATATGAACGGAATTATATTATAACGGTTTTCCATCTAAAAAATCAATTTTTTTTAATGAAAATGTAGTTTGAACACTTTCTAAAAATTAAAATGATATCGTATTACATTAAAATCTTGAACTTATCCACTTTTTATTATCGCAGATAATAATATATTAATTAAAATTTATCTTTCAATTTCATATTAGGTACAAAATAATAGTTTAATTTTTTTTAGAGCAGTACTCAATCACTTTTGTTTTATCTATATAACGTTTCATGTATATGATGAGTTATCTAAAGCCAATTTGCTTCACTTAGCAGAGAACACCCACCTACACTTGCCGGCAATCAATCGAAGACTAAAAAGTTTCAGAAACTAAGCGAAATATATACGATGAACAAAAAAGAAAGAGGAACGAAAAGCACAACAGGCAACGCATGACAACAAAAAACAATCAAAATAAATTTACGTTCCTATCAAGAGACCGTGTATAAAAATAAAATCAACACAAGTCTGTCTATATGTGTGTGCTAGTAGAAAAACAAGCTGATAAAACGACCAACAAAAAACCTAGAAATACAAAAAGTGTCATGGAATATGGTAGAAGTTGCTCCGGAAAGATGAACAAACAAGTTCATTATGTGACCACTTTTTTGTATATCTGCTATCAGTGGAAATTTTGAATCGAAACCGACAAAAAAACGAGCCCCCTCTGGTGGTTCCAAAGGTTTTGCATTATCATAACGAGATTTTAGGTCCGGCCTCCTCGAACGCAGACAGTAGGTCAAAAGAACATCTACCAGGGGAGATAATACTACTACTGATGTAATAACTATGAACTGACGTCAAACGCTTAATGGTAAACAGTAAATTAATAAGAAAAAAATATATTGATAAACTAAATTTTGAGGCAGGGAATTTTGGAGCGAACACGTACTCCTCTATTTCTATCAACTTGCCCTTTCAAGTGACCTCAATAACTTTGATTCCGTAGCTGTTTACTAGCTGGGTTATAAATACAAGTTCTTATCTATACCTTGGAAATAATTATCCGATTATAGCGTAAACTATCCCCTTATTTTATTTCACTAATGCGTCATAAGAAATTCCTTGACTAAAAATCTTGTTTAATGTATCTAAAGGATTGTTTAGAAGGAATCTGCACCATGATAACGGATTATTGATTTGATCCGCTTCACCTTGTTTGAAAAATGTATGATATGTTTTTATTTTTATCTTTACAGTCGCCAATAAAAATATATATACATATGTATCTTCTTTTCATTGTTGTTTTTGATTATGGTAAGCAGGTATCTGCTGTTGACCTTCAAAGCAAGTCCTTGCCACTCCAAAACTTGTTTTCATAGACCATCCAAAACAACCCCTAAATAAGTCCCTCTCTTTTCTCAGTCTTAGTCTCAATGAGTAATATTCAGTACTTATTGTGAGTTTTATTACATCTCTCATTCATTCACTAAAAGGAAAATTTAAAGTGCAATGGATAAAGACGAATAAAATAAAGTAGAATTAAAGGAGAAGACGTCAACAAACCGAGGAATTTACGATGACGTTGGCTAATTGAAATCTAAACGAAATGTGTGAGAAAGATACAAATTGTATGTATTTCCCGATGTATAGTACATGCATTTAACATTTCGCCAACTATTTATAAAGAAAAACCACAGCGGCGACTACAAATTGCAGTTGAATCTTTGCCAATAAGCAAATGAACTCAATTGGAAGAGCGAGTCTGAGGATACGAAAAAAATGAGAGCCGGTTGAGCCGGTAGAGAAAAACTACTTTCGAGAGCTAAAGTCACCCGATAAGGTTTCTTATCGGCTGCAGTTCTCCCACTCCTTGCACTGCAGTGCATAGGTCAACAACACTCGGGGCACTCAAGGTTCTAAAACTTGTCATAAAAGTTTTGAGCACGAGGAAATGGTGAGGGAAAATTCGAAGTACATAACGCACTCACTCACTCACACGTTTACAGATTCTTTATTGTTCTGTAAATTTGGATTACGAAACAGCCGAGAAAAATGGGAACGGTTACGCGACTTTTCAATTGCACTTGGTACGGGACTTTCAGGTCTATTCTGGATATATATCTGAATTTATTAGGGGATTTTATTTGGCACTATATGACGCCCACTCACCGAACTGGAAACTGAATCTAGGAATTGGTGATTAGCTGCTGGCTACTGGCTGGGTCCGCTGCTGCTGCTGCACTGGAGGAGAGCGGTAAACGCTTTTATTTTCTGACTTCTGGCTCTGCCGTCGCTGCTGCCACCGCCTCTGCCTCTGCCACTGCCACCGCTGACGGCGACTGCGACGTCAACGTGAAATTCCAAAGCGAGACATGGCGAGCGAGACCCCAAAAGGTTGTTTAGAGGTCGTCGCCGCCGGTGTTGGGCAACCGACTGAGCCAAGCGCTAAAAATTCCCAGAGTCCGCCAGTTTGTGTATCCAAAATAAAGCTATTCGAGGGAGCTTTTAGTGGGGGAAAGAACCTACAATGCGATGCTAAAGTTGGCTAAAACTTAACGGATAGCTTTGGACTGCCTTAGCTTTGCACTGGGCGGCTTCAAATTTAAAATAATTTCGTTAGGGGCTATGGGTCTTCTGAGTTTAAGGAATTGAGAGAAATAAAATCAAGAAAGAAAGCTAACTTCGCAAGTTTATATACCCTTGCTTCTGTTCCAAAGTTAACTATTCTATAGTTCTATTTCGATGCTTTAAACAATGAAGCAAGGTCAATTACTACTACTACCTGCAACCAAAGCAAGAGTCTTTGTAAACTTTTATCTAAATAGCTTTAAAACTAAGGGACTACTTTGCGTGGATGGACGGGCAGATTTACAGACATGCCGAAATGGCTAGATCGAATTGTCTGGTGATCAAAATATATATACTTTATAGGTTTCGATCAAAGCATGTATTCGCTCTCATTGGAATAATCGGAAAATAAATTCAAAAAAATTATAACTTTGATGTTTTAAATTTTGTTTTTTGTGTTCCTTGAGATTTGTTAATATTTAAATATTATGTAGTTACGGTTTATATTAAATTAAAATCGGACAACAATATCATATAGCTGCCATAGAAACGATGGCAAAATACAGCGCAAAATCAACATATCCTCATAGTTTTTAGTAACATAGGCATAGAAATCGAAATGTAGTCGATTTGTAATAAATTTTTGGATTTATTTGAGCATCATTAAATTATTTTGTTTATTTTAAGCTTTATGGAAATCTGCTCTTTTCTATAAAAATGTATCTTATTAAAAGACTTGTATCTTAAATCCGTAGAAATATGCATTTACTTTTAATTGTAATTGTCTAGTCTATTATTAACTAGCGCAAGTAAACGTGTTATCAGTGCTTAACAGGCACTTTGCCTCGGAATAGAAGTCTTTGTTAAGGGATCAGGTGAACAGGCATCTTAAGAAACTGCATGTTAAATATTGTAGACAACTCCTTACCTGTTATCAGAAGCATAACATGCACATAGCCTCAAATTCAATGTCTTTGTAATATGTGTAAGTAAGCTGAAAAATAAGTGAAGCTAATAATTAATTGCAAAGGCATCGCCAATACATCTTAAGCCTTCTAAGTTCCGAAACATTGTTTTTGATTCAAAAGCACGGTGAATTTGTAGTTTGTGTGTATACTTGAACTTTATAATCTTAGGTTGTTAATGTAAAGGCAACAAACATAACATTGAGGAATCGAAACATTTTTATACCCTTATTTTTTGATTTTACCAAAGTGCCAGTTTGTGTTACCTTTCGTTAAGCGTGCTAGCAATCCCACAGAAAAAGCGGGTCTAGAAACGACAGAATGTCTGGCAAGTATAAGAAAGAAGGTGTAAGGAAGAAGCATCTAAACAAATATTTTTTTAATAACCTGTCAGTCAACAACATTTAATTTTAAAGTATAAGGTATTTTAAAATGGGAAGAATGAATTTTTTGGTGTTTCTTTTTTAATTACTAGCGACCTGCTTTACTTGGAGCGGTCAATGAATTTTTCGTGACCATCAGCATCAGGCGCCCCAAACCCAGCGCAACAAAAACCGAGGGTGGCAGAAGCAGCAGCAAGGATAAGCAACTTTCACGCCATGCCTGACCTCCTGCAATGTTAAAGGACTCAACCCCCTGGCACTTGAAACAGCTGATTGAGAGTACTCTCTGTGAGATAATATCCCCATATTTCGACACACGCTTGTTCTGAGTGAAAGAGAAAAATATGCTCTTTGGGAGGACACGCTCGAAGTTTAATAAGCACTTGGCATACTTTTGTGAATCAAAGGGATGGCAGAAAAACAAGGTTTCTTCTTAATATAACTTTACAATATTTATATATAGCTTATAGTAAAAATGTGTAATGAAAAACAAAAAGGAAAAGGGAAAAAACATTTACTAGAAATCAAAAACTGCTCTTACCTAATGCGGCAGCCTAAGAGCTCTCTGCGCCTCGTAGCTTCGTCCTTTTTCGGATTTCGTGCCTGCCTCACTCGCTTCCCAGTTTCGTTTGGGGATTCTGGTTCAGCTTTCAGTTCGAATTCGTGCGTCGGCCGGTCGAGTTGTGTGCCAAACGCTGGGCACCTGTCGCCTCACACGTGTTGCGTTCCACTTGCGCTGTGCGTTTCCTTTGCACCCGCGTACACCGCGGCGAATACGTTACGTTACGTATTGTGGTGCAGCCAAAGCGAAATAATATCTGATAATAGTTATGTGAGCCGAGAGTGGAGTGCTTAGTCAGAATTTCAAGCTCTGGCAGTGATTTAACTCATATTAAAATATTGAAAAAGTGGAGAAAAGAAGAGAAGATAACGGGTTACCCACAAGAATGTTAAATAGTTTACCCTGTTTTGGTAAGAATCTTAGTGTATATGGAAATAAAATGAATAAAGCATTAATTTAGATACAACAGGAAAAACGTTTATTTCGTTTATCGTGTGCATTGTGCAATATACATAGTTTGGGCTATTAGCAATTAGTAAATAATTTGAATAAAAACCAAATTAATAAAACATTTGGGTTAAGGGTTAGATTAAAGCGAGGTCTTAAAATATATTTGAATATTATGAAAAATTCTCATAATATTTATATTTCCCTTCTACTTAAAGACATTTTTTGGACTCGGATTTTTTCAGCTTAAATTTGAGTTTCTTTTTTCCTCAAATAAAAAGTTCCCAAAAAAACATAAAAATGTGTGCAACAAAGAATGCAAAATAGTTATCTCGAGTTTGGCTGAGTATTCTGTGTACATACGAATATGGGTTTAATATGCAGATTTCTGCCCGCCGCAGCTATAATATTGAGCAATTGATGAGAGCGCTTTTAGCTTGGCATTGTGGCATTTGGCTCATTAATATGCGGCAGGCGACACAAAACACACCCTCTTGCCTCCCCCCACCACCAAAATACACACCCTTGCGCAATCCTCCCCCTCCTAGAATTTGTGTCTGTGTTTTGTCTCGTCCTCATCTGCATTTGCCAGAAATGAGAATGAGTATCCTATAACCGACTGAGCAGCATCCTGGCTGCTGATGATAATGTTGATTCCTGCCTTCCGCAACAATTTGCTTTGAACTTTATCCGCCCTCCTCTTTGGCCACGCCCTCTGAAGATATCCGTAAAAACAAAATTTTGCCCTGACTCCGGCTCACATTTCTCTAGCTTTTGTTGTGGCATTTATAAATGTTTGTTACCTTTTTCTTCGTCTCGACTAGGACAAAGTGTTTATGGTCTCTGGCAGTTTGAATTTTGTGGCTTTGAGCTGGAATCTCTCTTGAAATGATAGAAATTGCGTTTGCCAAGTGTTTGTCAGTGTGGGTTTGCTATAGTATTCCGAGAATGAGTTCAATTAAAAGGAGCACGTCATTTCAAGATCACACTTTGCGATAAAAACAAATACAAGCTATTGCAAATAAATTACTTACTACTCAATTTGCATAGATTTAAAAACACTTTAAGAGCAAATAGTAAAAAAATATTTGCTTTTCTTTAAAAAGCTTTTTGTTATATTGTTTAATTATTTTATTATTTACGTAACTATTGTTATAAGTTTCTTCAAGCTTCCCATTTTCTTCCGTAAACTATGTATGTTATTTCCAAAGAGAAATCGTTCTTTAATTTCCTGGTCTACTGCTCATTATTCTAACATCTGCTCGGCAATTCGTTTGTAGATTACTTGTGGCATGCCGCAACATATGTTGCTGTATTTTGGGTCAAAACTTTTTTTCGGGGCTTCATTTGATTTTTACGCCTGCAATTGGCCTCAACTCGAGCATAAATTATGCATACAAAAAAAAGAGAAATGAAAACAGTAAAAGAGAAGCCTGAAAGCAAATGCGAAGGTCGAGGCAAATCAAACAAATGGCAAGAAACATGAAAATGTTGTAAAATAATTTCAATTCATTCTAGTGCCATTTGGCATGCCTCTGGGCCGGTTGTCATTCCGTTGGTATTTCTACGGTCGCTGCTGTTGTTGTTCGGTTTGTTGTTGCCGTTTTTCCGGTCCTCGAAAAAAATATATATATACATAGAATTTTTTTGTCTTCAGTTTCGCTTGTTTAAGGACAAACCACAGTATACCAAAGCACACACAGACGATCCTTATTAAAGTTTGATTTTCTTCCTTTTGTATTTCTAATTTTATTTTATTTTGCTATATGAGTTCCATTCAGCCTCCAGGCTTCCATTCTATTAATTTATGCAAATATGTGTGCGGAAAAGTTTGCATTTATAAAAATGTAAGCAGGGCAGCGTTTGAGAGTTTTTAGCTTTTGTGGAATGGGGTAAATAATTCTATAAATGAATGTACATTTCTATATAAAAAGGGAAATTGCATTAACTAGAACATTTTTTCATAACTTTTTCATAATTTTGAATAAATTTTCTCAACCTGATTTCTCGCTTTAAATTGAAATATATTTTAAAGATTTTAACGTGTTAATACGTTTTTTAATGAAACTTTTAGTGTATTTTAGTAACAGAACTTTAAAAGAAAATTTGAACAGCACTGTTCCCTTAAAAATATAAAACTTTTATTAGGGGATATATTGCGCCGCTGTGTTAACGTTAATTTCCCTGGTCTTTATTATAGAACGTTAATATTTTAGCAATTAAAAAAAATATACAACTTTTATTAGAGGTCTGGAAAATAAAACGAATTTAATCTGATATTGCGCAGGTGGGTAGACGGTAATTTCCATATCCTTCCTTATAGAACGTTAATATTCTAGCAATTAATTTGGCTTACGCATTACATAAACGGGATTTGTCAGGTCATGCGATCATCAGCTGCTTTTAACCATACCCCTAAATCATACCATTTATTATCCCTGTAAAATTGAATAAGCATCAAGTAGAAGAAATTCCAGTATGGCCTCGGGCAACATGAGCATTATGGTGGGGAAACCTTATCACAGTGGGCGACGGCATTCCTTTCCAGCTTATAAGTCCCAGCCCTCCCAAGACGGAAAATTTCTCCAAGGGGTGGTGGGTGCTATTCGCATTGACTGTTTGCTACAATTCGCTAGTGAATGGAATTTAGTGCTGAATGAAAGGGACTTGGGGGAGTTTGATTATAAATAACGTAAAGTAAGCGCACATGAATGCATTTTGATTGTCTGTTGTAGTTTACGGCACGTTTCCTTTTTTGCTGCTACTGCTTCTGGAGTTGCGAGGAAAAATGGAAATGGAAAGACGACAAACTCGCCGGGCAATATCTGTGGGCGAAAGGGGCGTGGCAACTTCCTTAAATGGTGCACTAATGTAGAAAAGAAAAGCATTTTTTTATATTTATTTGCCTGCCACTTTGCATGGAAATTCCAACTGCAACGAGGACATCGCATTTCCTTACTGCAATTTTCCAACGCGCGCACTCCGGTTTCTTCATAGCCACCCCCTTATTTTGCTTTTTTTCCATACTTATTTTCGTCCCGCTTCCTTTCGTTACGTTCGTTATTTTTTTGAGGGCATACAAAATAATGTTTCATGTTGCAATAAATGTACGATTCAGTCTGTACCCTGCTCCCTTATACGCTGTTTCCCCAGATCCCCTGCCGTTCGTTCCGGTATATCCCACACCCATGCATGCCACTCACAAAAAAATGAATAAATGAAATACGCAGCACTGCACGCAGTTATCCTTGCGCCCATTTTGTCCTGCATTGTGTCGTTCACTTTTGAACAGCGAGGAATACAATTTATTAACCTACAAATCACATTTAATATTCATCAATATTTAATTGCGCACTACCTGATTATACCGGATTGACTTTGAAATCGGATTTATCATTTCTCTAATAATAATGTATTTGTTTAACAAAAATACTTTTTTATTTTTATTTTCACTAAACTGAAAAAAACTAAGTGATGTCTTGAACCACATACAAAAAAGTTACTAAAAAAAAATACATTGTCGCATTGTGATTATTGATTGAAGTTTATATCATTGTACTTTAATTTAATACATGATTTGTGTCGTTGTAGATTGAGTTATTAATTATTAAGTTCAACAAATCAAACAATTACTATCACAACTTTATTCAAAACATATTAATTATTGTTGTTAGTCCTTTAGAAATTGTCATTTCCGTTTGTCAAATTGTTAATGCACTTTTAAGTGATCCCTGGATTACTTTAACTTTTGCTCATTTAATTTCTTCTGCCTTTCAGTTGACTTTTCCCATGCTGAAAGCAAGAGCTTTTCAATTTAATTAAATATCCCATGTTGTGGCTCTTAATTTCGGTTTGCATGCCGCTTGTTTTAAGGCATCAATGTTTAATGAAGCGCCAAACGTTTTCGATTTCACAGAGACGACTTTTGTTTGTCGTCCTTCGTCGTCCTTTGCTTCCTGTTAACCCAACTGGGTCTAATTTGGCTTCCTCTTCTCAGTTGTTGTATTAATAATTCGTGCGTTGAGTTTCAGTCACGTTTTGCATGTCGGAAAATATTCGTGGCGCGTTGCCCTTGTCAATGTTGTCATTTCCTGCTCGTCGTTGACTTTGTTGATTTTTGCATAATTTCTGTATGGGCAGATAGCTTAAGGATTGCGCCCGACAGGACAATACCATCGCAGAAAAGAAAGAAAGAAATATGGTGGGGAGAAAATCGAACCTTGAAGTAACCAAATCCATAATCAGTAAAAGGAATGTAAGAATAGTGGAAGCGGTAACACAGTCGGACGCAGATAAGATATCGCCCCAGTTCTCCACAGCGGAATGTTTTCATTTTGTTCGCAAGCATCAGAGCATGAAAATCAACATGCGAAAGCAACTAGCCCCCTCTGAATTCTACTCTTATTTCTTTTCGTCCTGCGGTGTGCACACCAACAGTTGGCACATGAAAATGGAAAAATGAGGGGACAAATAAAAATGGAAAACTAGAAATAGGGGCAAGTGTTAACATTATCACAAGAAAAATAAAAAAAAAGTTTTGTATTCACTGAGCCAGGGGAACTGGAAAGCTGACTTTATGGAATTATATTTCTGTTTAGGTTTGAAGGTGTAAATTGAATAAGACATTTTTATTTATTTTTTTTATAAAATATTAGCTTATATTTTAACCTAAGAGCTAACAAAAATGGTTGCTAGAGTCATTCAGCTCACCAGTTGTGATCTCTTTCTTTTTTTTAGAATAAAATAATTGATTGTTTAATTGATTAACTACTATAAGTATTTTAATATAGCTTATAACACGATTTCAAAGCGATGGTAAACCTCGATAAACCTATTTCAAATAAGTTTTGCTACCAGAATATTAGGAACGAACAATAACTGTAGGATACTTCCAGTTGGGAAAGTATTTCCATTTGCCCAGTTTACAATTTATTTTAGGCGACTTCGTGGCCGACTTATTCGTTGCAAACTATTAAGGTAGTTCAGCTTTGTTTCCCAGTTTCGGGTAAAACTTAAAGTTCACTTTGTGAGACAAAAAAAATATAAATATTTCCCCACTTGGACCGTTTTGCCAAACCAAACAGGGCTTCAATTTCTTGGGAAATATTTAGAACTCCGCTCTCTCGATTTTCCCCTGGCTTACTCGCTTAGTTTTCTGCCACCTGCCAGGCACAGGCCAAACTTTATGTCGTATGCGAATAAAAAAACAAAAAAAACGAAAATAAAAGCGTACGGATAAAGTATTTCTCTCCCAGAACTTTTCTACCGTACAGCAGGGGAAACTATTTAAATTTTCTATGATTTCTTTTTTGGGGTTCGGTGATATGCCGTCTAAAAAGAAAAAAAAAATGAAAAGGAAACTTTGCTATAAATAATTTTGCATTTTTATTGTGCATTTTATGCATTTTGTGCGCGATTTCGATTTGAAGTTGGGTTCTGAAATAAATATGAAAAGTTTTATTTATGTTTGTGGGGTGGCAGAGGCAAGCAAAAAGGGGCGTGGCTTTGGGGCTCAAATTGAGTTTGGGGTCAGGAGCCGGGGTTGTGCGGTAGCACAGCCGTGGGCGTTATATTTATGACATTTGTTTGCCAACAACTTTCAATAGCTCAATCACGCCACCCGCACATGCAATAGGCTAAACCGTTCGCCTCGCCATTGAGCCACCAAACTTGGAGAAAAAAGCTTCATTCAAAAGTAAACAAACAAGTTATTAGATTTAAGATTGCTTCATACTTGAAATTAATTCTTTAATATTATCCCTGCGGCTTAAAGATATTTTTATTTTGGCTTCTTTCTTGAAATAACTAAAAAGTTCTTTACTTAATTCTCTTTTTGAAAACTAATTATTTAATTTTTTTGCAGCTAGAAGGCGGAACATCATCAATGTGAGTGCTGCGGACTGTGTGCTCTTCCACTAGAGCTCTGCGCCGCTCGGGGGCAATGAAATCGCGGAAGCTGCCAAAGGGCTTCGTGCTTTGTGGCCTCAACTGTCTGACGTTCGTCTACTTCCCGCTCGTCCTGCCCATCCTGCGATGCTCGGCCGGAGCAGCGGGCCCGGCGGCCGGAGGCGGTGGATCAAAGACCGCCGAGGACTTCGACTTCCGGATGCAGCGGGTAAGGAAGGTCCTGAAGGAAGTGCCCCTAATCGACGGACACAACGATTTGCCGTGGAATATCCGCAAGTTCCTGAAGAACCAGCTGAAGGACTTTCACTTCGGCGGGGACCTGCGGGAATTGTCTCCCTGGTCCTCGAGTGCCTGGAGTCATACGGACCTGCGCCGTCTGAAGGAGGGCATGGTCTCCGCGCAGTTCTGGTCCGCATACGCCCCCTGCTCATCACAGCATCTGGATGCAGTGCAGCTCACTCTGGAGCAGATCGATCTGATCCGTCGACTAGTCCAGCTCTATCCGCACCACATGGCGCTGGTCACAACCGCGTCGGGAATCGAGCAGACGCACCTGACGGGGAAAATAGCCAGTCTTATTGGCGTGGAGGGCGGTCATGCCATCGGCACCAGTCTGAGTGTCCTGCGAATGTTCTACCAACTGGGCGCCAGATACCTAACCCTCACTCACACCTGCAATACACCGTGGTAAGTTCAGCAAGCAATCAACTACTAATCTGGAAAATCTGATGTATGTCGAATTTAATTAACCTCATCAGGGGTCATTTGTATAAGAAAACAAGGCAATATTATAATTTATTTTTCAATTTTTGATAATTAACTTTTTTTATGACATGTTCATGTACGTTTTGTTTTAGTGTGACATGTTTTATGATAACGTAATATTATTACAGCACAAAAGGGTGTGAAGTAACAAAAAACAGATATGGAAATTATATTTTAAGACTCACGCTACAAAACTGAAAATGGTTTTTATACCCTTGCAGAGGGTATTATAATTTTGGTCAGAAGTTTGTAACGCAGTGAAGGAGACGTTTCCGACCCTATAAAGTATATATATTCTTCATCAGGATCAATAGGGGAGTCGATATAGCCATGTCCGTCTGTCCGTCCGTCCGTCTGTCCGTCTGTCCGTCTGTCCGTTTGTCCGTCTGTTTCAATACCGTTTGCGAGCTCAGTTTAAAAGCTAGCGATCTGAAACTTTCACAGTCGTCCTAAAACAAGTGTACGCAGATCAAGTTTGAATACCGCCCCGATCGGATGTCTGTATCCTATAGCTCCCATAGGATCAATCGGATATAACTTGCAAGATTGGAAGATATTTCGCGCAGTGTAAAAGCTATTGACATAAATCTTTCCAAATCTTATTTTTTTATGCGTACCTTGATCAGGGTAAAAGCGCGTGACGATCGGACGTCTATATCCTATAGCTCCCATAGGAACAAAAGGGTAAAATCGGTTAAAATTTAATGATTTTTAGGATAGTTCGCGCAGTATACAAGCTATTGACATGAATCTTTCCAAATCGTATTTTTTATGCATACATTGATCAAGGTGAAAGCGCGTGACGATCGGACGTCTATATCATATAGCTCCCATAGGAACAATAGGGTGAAATCGGTCCAAATTTGACGATTATCAGAATATTTCGCGCAGTGTGTAAGCTACTAACCATAAATTTTTCCAATTCTTATTTATTTACGCATATCTTGATTAGGGTAAAAGCGCTTGCCGCTCGGTAGTCTATATCTTAAAGGAGATTAGGAAAAATTGTTAAAGGCTGCGAAAGTATCCCTCCTTTTATACCCGTTACTCGTAGAGTAAAAAGGGTATATTGTATTCGTGCAAAAGTATGTAACAGCTAGAAGGAAGCGTTTCCGACCCTATAAAGTATATATATTCTTGATCAGGATCACTAGCCGAGTCGATTTAGCCATGTCCGTCTGTCCGTCTGTCCGTCTGTCCGTCTGTCCGTCTGTCCGTCTGTCTTGTCTGTTTGTCCGTATGAACGCTGAGATCTCGGAAACTATAAAAGCTAGAAGATTGGCATTTTGCATGTAGATTTTAGAAGTTCCTACGCAGCGCAAGTTTGTTTCAAAATGGTGCCACGCCCCCTTTAACGCCCACAATCGCTTATATACGATTTTAAAAATTTAAATATTTCGTAAAAGTAAAAATGCAGTTTTATTGTGTTTATCAATACCTATCGAAATGGAGAAGAAATTTTTCAAATCGGACCATTCGTTAAAAAGTTATGCGTGATCAAAGTTTCTATCTCCATCTCCCTCGCACTCCCTTTACCTGAGTAACGGGTATCTGATAGTCGGGGCACCCGACTATAGCGTTCTCTCTTGTTTTCTATTTGTATATGACACTTTTGCAAGGGTATAAAAGCAGATTGGAAATTATATTTTAAGACTGACCCTGCATATCTAATGGTTTTTACTTATATAAAACTCTATTCCTTTCGTGAAAATTAATATGATGTTGTTAGGTCTTGAATAAATAAAAAGTCTTATTAATTTCTAGAAACTCTTTTAAGGCTTTTATAGTTTATTGTTCTTTTAAGTTTAAGTATGAAATAACTTTGAAATATACTTTCGTTTCAGGGCGGACTGCTGCAAAGTTGACGAACCGGGAAAGTACCCGCACATAGGCGGTCTCTCGCAGTTCGGCAAGGTGAGTAAATCGCATTAGAGAGTCCTAGTCCCAATACCGTAATAAATCCTTGTATTTATCGTGCAGCTGGTGGTCAAGGAGATGAATCGACTGGGCATGATTGTTGATCTGTCGCACGTTTCAGTGCCCACGATGCTGGACGCACTGGCCGCCTCGAGGGCTCCGTTGATATTCTCGCACTCCTCGGCGCACGCCATCTGCAACAGTTCCCGCAACGTTCCCGATCATGTCCTGCAGCGCATTGTGAGTCCATTATGGGAACATTAATCTGGGGAAACATTAACCCATATACCCAATCCCACATCCAATGCAGGCAATAAACGGCGGTCTGGTTATGGTGGCCTTTTATCCGCATTTCGTCAGCTGCTCGGGACAGGCAACATTGCACGATGTTGTGGGTAGGTGGTTTTTCTTGGCCCAATGGGTTTTTCGGTGGGTGGAGGGCGCACTATTAATCTTTAAACTTGTGCTTTTTGGTCCACCCCTCAGCGCATATCAACCACATAAGGGAGGTGGCCGGCATCGATCATGTCGGCATTGGAGCTGGCTACGACGGAGTCAACTTGTAAGTACGCCAACTTTTGGCTACTGCTGCAGTTTCAATTACGTTTCATTTCATTTGGCAAATTATGCTTTCTCTATTGTCGTCCCTTTCTTGGATATCATCGCCTTATACGCTTTCTCCGATTCCCACTTAAGAGTGCCCAAAGGACTGGAGGATGTGTCCAAGTATCCGCATCTTTTTGCTGCCCTGCTCGAGTCTGATAAATGGTCGGAGGAGGATATTGCCAAGTTGGCTGGCCAGAATCTAATACGTGTGTTCAAGGAAGTCGAAGCGGTGAGTCCACAGCAAAAAACACACAGAAATTGCTCACTTTTCTCTGGCATTTTTTTATTGTTCAATGTTCTGCCCCTAAGGGATGCTTGAATACTCTGACAAAGGGTATTCGAATTTATTCTATAGCTTGGCATTTCTTATCCCAAACATTTCAGATAGAAATCTGCAATTTATTATTATTCTTAAAACTATATATTTTAGACACTCAGTGTATTAGCCTTAAGTCTCTAAAGATTTCTGGGAGAACGGAACCCGACTTTTGAGTACGTTGCGAGAGTATTAAATATTTTGTCCAAGCATTATTATTTTTTGATATTTTTTCTTGGTATTAGGCGCGTACCTGACCGACTTAAAGTCGAGGCTAGTCCACAGAACAGAAACACACATTTCGCAGCAAACAAACAAAGAAGTTGGGAAAAGGACATTGGTATGGTCTCCTCTTTCTCGGTTGTTATTGCAGTTGCGAAATTCCTTTCGCAAGGATAAAAGGAATAATGTGGCTTTGCAATGGAATTTGCACATACTTGGAGTAGAAGCCAAGGGAGAGGATAATGGGGAAACAGGAGCAGGACATTGGCTTGACGTCGAAAAGACGCAAGTTGTGAAATAATTTTAAAAGGATTTCCAAATGCTTATTCCGATATTTATACACGAGCCTGACCAGCGCAACCGAAGCAACAGCTCCAGACTGCAGTTTGTTTGCAGGATGCGGTCAGCTTGTTTGCCGTCTGCTCTCCGATTGGATGCAGCTTATAGTCCTGCGAATGGGATTCGGCTTGGCTGGGGGATTTCTTTTACTTCTCTACGATGACTATGTCTGGGCACTCCACTCTCAAGCAGCATTCAATTTAGATCAATACGGGATGGGCCAAAGCCCCTCTCGAGGAAGTTACTCCTCTGCATTGAACGGCACTCGAGCGGAGGCTAGTGCCATTCAAAGGCTTGCAAGTGGGTTTGTTTTTCAGTCCAATGGCTGGATGGTTGGACGTTTCGATGCATGAATGGATAGATAGATGTTCGGCTAAACGATGCAGACAGCACTCCAGCCTGCTTATCAAAGACTGTTTGTTTTCACTTTTGAATTGAAAATTTAAAAATGTACTTCAAATTAACCGATAGGCAAAGTAGAACGGTAATTAAGTATTTAGGAAGATAAATACTCAAGTAAGAGTCTAACTTCATTGAGGGTAAACTGTTAAAGAATACATTTAAAAACGTTGCCAATACTTTTTCACTTCTAAGAGCTGCGATTTACATTTTTTTAAAGATATTTAAAAGACATTAAAGTAAGCTTGGAAAAAGTACCAATAATATATATTTTTTTTTTTCAAATAAATAGAAAATAGAATTGTTATGTTTCATGTCACAGCCCAAAAAACTGTTTCAAGTCCAAAATTGACTGCCTAAAAGTAATTTTTATATATCAAAGATATCTATCGTGATTAGTTCCTGGATAAAGCTCTTTTTTTGAAGTCTCTAAATCAAAATAGTTGAATAATTGCCCCTTTCGCCTTAGAATCTGGCAAGTTTCTCCTTTGGCTGGAACAATTTAAAGATTTAATAACAAAAATAAATCATACGCCCCCTTGAACGTTGGCCATGCTCGTAGATTTTATTGCTTTTGCTGATTATAGAAACCTCCTCCAAGTTCCGCCCACTCTACACCCCCCTTTTGACCAAGTTGAGAAAGAGATGCCGCAGCATTTTTTAATTTAGCTCTTGTCTCTCGCTGACTGAGAGCCGACCGGCAAACTTTAATCATATTCTCGCGCAGTCTCTACATTGTAATTAGTTTTAGTTCAAGGCGTGTATATAATACATACAAATACTAAATGTCCGTTATTACAAGGCGCTCTTACCCCAACAGCAATGGTAATGGTAACAGCATAAAAATAAGGCCACAAAAGTATTGCCTTCTTTGCAGAGCGACTGATTAAAATCGCAGGGCTTTTATTGCGCTTTGCACTCAGCAACCAACCATATATACTTTTTTTTACTGTTGTTTATTACATGGCCATAATGCTCATTAAGAATTGTATTTTAATACGTTTCTGTTTGTTTCTGTATTTTTATATTTTTTCCGTTCTCCCCCTTTTTTTCAGCTGTTTGCGGTAAAAAGTAATTAAAAATGTTACCCAACGCCTTTTATCTGTGGCCAAAAAGCCCATAGCACTGAGAATTAAGCCAGGCCATATATACTTATCCCTATGACATTTGCTTTTGTTTTCCATCAGCCCAAGTCCCCAGTTCATTGAACCGAACTCGAAGTCCCCCATTTCCATTCCAAAACCGGCGAAATAAAATACGTTATAGCCTACTTATGGACGTCGCCAAAAGCTTGGCTCGTAATGCAATTAAATAATAACGAAAAGCGGGTCAAATGTTCAATTATTAGAAGCTTAATGCTGTTTTGGGTTGTGTGTACCCAGGGGACTCGGTCGGTCATGGCTGTGATAATTAAGCAAGTCATAGAAATTAGGCAAAAGGCCATTTTAATGATTGCCATCTCGCACAAACGCTCACAAGGACATGTACACGAGCACGAACCAGCACATATATAATACCCTTTTAGGCTGGACACACACTTGATCAAAATTCAAAGCGGAGTGTTCTTCCATACTTTTTCTCAGTTTTTTTCGAAGCGATTTTTAAAGTTGTGGGTTATTATTGAAATGCATTTGTAATCACAGTTTTCGTTGCCTAAAAAATAGTCAAAAAATACAAATTTATTTAAAAAAGAACTTATCTAAAAAAACAAAATTCATTAAATTTGTAATATTTTATTACAGAAATTGTTCAACTCCTCGTGATACCCATTTGATCGATTATAAAAGTCCAGCAACCGTTGGCCATATAATTAAGATAACCATTTTTAAAAGATTGGTATAAATGGAAAAACACTTTAAAACTAAGTGCATTTCTAAAGCAGCGGACGAAACTAGCTTCATTTCGATAAGATTTAGCATGCTTAACCGGTTCTGGGAACACATTTCCAAGGACATTAGGGACAACAAGGATGCCCGCAAATTTGTGGGCGTAGGAGGCGGCCAGTGGATCTACTCTGAGAGCCATTGCCATAGCCATAGCCATAGCCCATGAACATGATAATTTTCTCGACGCCAGTTTTTATCTACATAAAAGCAGCAGTGGCGGGGGCAAAGAAAAGCCAAGGATTTCAGACCCTTCTCTGACCGACTCCTCGCTTGTGTTTGTGTAAATGTATCTTTTATTTTAGCCTTTTATATCTAATGCGAGAGCGAAGAACGGCATTTGGCACGACACATCGCCCAAGTGGCGGCAACGGAGGCTTTGTCTCTGAGATGGGCAAATGTCCCGGCAAATGGCAGCAATTTGTGCGAGACAAATTCATTTAAATATCTTTCGCAGACCTTGTGTGCACTGGAAAATAAAGTCATTTGAAATGGGGGTCAAGCCGATCTTGTTATAAATAAGATTTACAAAGTCTCAATTACGAGATTATTTTTATTGCACACCGAATTGATGATAGCTAAAAGCACTATCGTAAAAAGACCGTACTACAAAAACAATAAATACTTAAATTAAAATGTTTATTACCTTTGCTTGTGCATATTGTTCATATTGAAAAATTTGTTCTCATTGCAATTAAAGCCAACATTAAAAATAATAATAGATAATAAAATAGTTAATTTATAAGCGATTTAATTTGATTTATAACAATTTTTCGGTATACATGATTTAAATGTAATATATTTTTTTCAGTGTCTTAAAACTTTGAAATATAACTGATATCTTTTTAGATCTAATTGATTATTTTCTGATTCGTATACTATTTGCATAGATCAAAATTATCGTTATGTAATCCCATCTATATAATCTTTCATCTTCAATGTTGTTTTTCTGAAAGTGTTTTCCGCTGACCTTCTTACAATTGATTTGGCTTTGGGTTCCTTCGCTGGGAAATGCGTTGCGCTGCGGTGGTGTGGGAATTCATTTTTCTTTTTGAGCTCTTCACTGTAACTGTAACTGTGAACTGGGCTTTTCATTTTCACAGAACAGGGCTGCGGGAAAGAGGCGGGGAAATCCAACTCAAAGGCCGGAAGAGTCTAGCCAAAAGGCAAATGGCTCAAAGTTCCCATAGTTGTTGTGTTTTGACTGTTTGTGTGAGTGGGTCATGCACACAAAGTGCAATGACTGAGCCAAAGCTGACGTTTTATTGTTGTTTGTGTGGGGAAGGCTCGGGCTCACATAAAGCCTCATAAAAAAGTCGTAAATTCGATTGTTGTATGGCAAACAAAACACAGGAAATGGGACCAGCCGACCTAGGCCTCACCCCCTCAAAGGTGTTTGGTGTTGAAAACAAAACATTTTCTCTCATTTTATTTCGCTTTTTCCGCCCTCCTTCTCTGCTTTTTTGTGTTTGTGGCATTAAATGTGCTTCAACTTTTGCCAGGAATAAGTGCTGGCTGTTTGGCATTCAGATTTCGTGTTCTCTTTAAGGATTCCATGCTTGTGTGTGTGTGTGATAAGTGCGTGTTTGCTTATGTGTGCGAGAGTTAGACATGCGGAAGAGGTTTCTTTATGAGCATTTGACTCTTTGTATTCTTGTTTCTCGTGTTAGGTGACGGCTTTTCCTCAAACACTTAAAGATATTCAATTGTAGGAATTTTTTAAAATCCCAACATGTTTCGAGAAAGACAAAATGTGTTGGTGACATTAAGTGACATTAAGTAATTTAAGAAAAGCATCTGTGTGTTTAAAAATCTCCTCTTCGTATATTTCTAAATTTTCTTAAATTGCTGAATCTAGTTGAAAGTTAGTTATTCAAGTCTACAGGCAACAAACATTCAGAATCAGGACAAACGAAGCCCCTTAAAATTTTGTGCAAAACCCATTTGGTAATTTTCCAAAGAATGTTTACAATAACTAATATTCAACTCCAATTTTGTTGCCTAAGCTCCGCGCTAAAACTTGCGAACAATAATAATGCCATATGAAGAGTACACGAAAAGTTCCAAGAAATCATTTCTGCATTTGAAAATTCAAACAAAACTTTAGCAATTACGCTAAATAACTTTCGTAAGTTGTGCCAGCAGCTTGGCAATGGCGCAATGCAATCAATTTTCATCAATCAAATGCAGCTGTCGACACTCCCACTCACACACGCATGTATACATAATGGCTAATGGTATTTTAATCCAATTAAATGTACTTGATTTACTTGCAGGTTCGCGATCAGATGGAGCTCTTGCGAGTGTCGCCCATCGATCAGTCAATTCCAGCCGAGGACATTATGGGCAGATCCTACTGTCGTTATCAAGGACCAAGAACGTGATAATTTCTCCATTTGTATAGTTCACCCATATGCATAGCGTTACATTCATCGCAACCCCGTGGCAAAAATGGGTAAAAAAAAAATGATGTCAAGCGTACGTGTTGTAAAGTGAAACTTGTTTTAGGTTAATTGACAAAGTTTTCCTCCTCTCTGCTACTGATGTTGTTGTTTTTCTTGTTGTTGCGTATTGTTTGTGTGTGTGTGTGTGGCATGATGCTGCACAAATATATGCACACACACACATTCGGAAAAAAACGCCGACATTTTGCAATCGCTCAGAGTAGAACAGCTGGCTAGCTGCTGTTGTAACACTGGGAAGAACTGGTCCAGAAATACCGAGTGATTTTTGGAATAAGTCTTAGCCATTTTATTAGTGATTTTAAAACACAACGGCTTCTGTTCATACATTTGTTTAAAAAATGTATTCATTCAGTGTTTAAGCTTTTTAATTGCGTGGCTTTATTTTAAAAGCAAGTTAATCCAAATAATTTTTTAAATAGCAATTTGAGTAATACAACCTAGAACAATAAATCCAATGCAGATTTTTCTCAGTGCATACAACTTTGTGCACAGCTGGCATCGCCCATAAACAAATACAAAGTGGCATGAGGAGACCGCCACCCACCCACAAACGCCCCAATCCACCCAACCCTTCGTCCCTTCATTCCCGAACTAGCCAACATTGTGTAAATATCATTGCCATGTTTATTTTTATCTCTAGCTCTAGCTCTAAGTCAGAAAAAAAGAGGACAAGCAAAAAAATAAGGATGAATAACAGAAAATCTCAAAGCACACAAAAGCTAGAAAAAGTAAAGCCCCAAGTAGCGAAAGTAAAGCACATTTAGCCCCAAATTAATAAACCGACAACAAGGTGGAAAGTGAATTCCATGGAAAAAAAACTGAGGCTAATCACAGAAGTCAAGCTCAATGTTAGTACAGAAGGAAAATCTAATTTTTCATCATGTATTTTTTCTATGAAAAAGTTATTAAAGTTTACAAAGAATATAGCTAATAGTTAATGAAATAAATGTTAAATTCTTATACGCGATTTTTGCTGGGCTTATTCGGATCTGGTAGCAGAAAATGTTCGTTAATCTGCCTTTATTAGCCCGGCACTCGCAGCGAAACGATTTAATTACAATATATATTATGCGTTTTAAGAGTTTTTAATTTCGTTATTAACCTAAATGAAATTCCCATTTAATAAGTTAATTAACATTAAACATTTAATTAGCCAGGGCTAACACATAACGAGGGCAAACGAAAAAATGTAATTCAATGCACAAATTGAATGTAACCACATTTTTTGCATCATTTGTAAGGCTTAAATACCAATCTTTTAATCAATATTCAAGTGAAGCGATGCAATTTCAAATGAAATGCAGCGAAATGGTAAACATATTGAACAATTAATAGATCCATACAAAATTCAACCCGCCAAAATTGCAAATAAGTTCACAAGCAAACCAATTAAGCGAGAAATAATATTAAATAAAAATTGTATAGAAAGCAAATGAGTAAAACTGTAAACGTGTTTGTTCAAGAACAATTTAACTCATATACCTACACATACTCAGCTATATCACATGTATAAATATGTATACTTAAATATTTTGTTTTAATTTAATCATCAAATTTGGATAGGCAAAAAGAAGTCTGCGACTGGGTCATCAAAAAGTTGCATTCCCCCACTTTTTGCTGATCGACTTATAAAAAAAAATTCAATATTTTTGTTTAAAAAAAGAGGTAACGATGAAAAAATAGCTACAAATTTAAAACATATTTAAAGTTTAAACAAGGTGTGGGGCGAAACAAAACAAAAGGCAAAGAATAACACATGTGATCAAAACTAAAATTAAATTACAGATCTATATTATTACTACTTCTATATTACTATAATAATTTAATGTTTAACAACCCAAAAAAGGAACATTACAAACCAATTCAACCATTTTTACTGCTGATGGAAATTGAAAAAAAACTACAATTTATCGATTATAACTAGCCTATAATAAAGTGAGAAACTCAACTGTAACCATATAGGAAAACACTTCAAAATGCTGATTATGCAAACCGTGTTTTAACACCCTGTAAATATTTGTATGAATAATGATCAAATAGTTATAATAATTGTATGGAAAGTATGTCAAGTTGTGAACTAGAAAACAACCAAGAACAAGCAAAGAATAAATACATTAATTTATATGTGTAAATTGGAAGATGTCGTAAATGGCCAGCAGAAAAATACAAAACAAAATATAAATAAATTCACAAAAATTATAAAACAAAAAAAATAGTGTCTTTGTAAGTGATATCATTTGGGCTTGAAATGAATTAATGATTATTTTTGTTGAAAGTTCGCCTGCCTTATTTGTTAAAGGAAACTCACTTCCTCCTCAAGGAAATCAGTGAATGTAAGTAAAACTCTTTAACAACCATCAACACTTCCAGCTCTCCCTCCTATTTTTTTGTTATATTCTTATTGCGTTGATAGCACTCGAAACACACATCCAAGCAGCACTTGGATTTTACATCCTTGCCCCACCCATTTATCCGTCTAAATTCTGTCAGGGTTGGCTTGTCAATTCGAACGTAAAAATAAAAGGATTTGCAGTTCCAGTTTGTTTATATCAGCGAATTTTATACGCCCTAAGCTGGGGTAGATAAAACTCCCGTGCTTGCCAATGTAATTTATTTGCGCTTTGATGGCCAAAACAGTTCAAACAGTGAGAAATCATGGAATTTATCTTTTTTCCGGGCGAAGGTCAAGCAGCTGGAATCCCGCTGGCCGCAAAACCACATAACTCAATGCTCGTAAAACTTGCAAATATTTCACATTTGTTTTATTTCTGGTGGGCGGGGGGTTGTGCGCTGCGAGCGTTAAAAAACTATGCATCAAACGAAACGAAATTTGTGTTTTACATAAAATTTCAATTAAATGAAATAAAGTTTCGGTTTTCGGTATACGTCCTTGGTTCTAGAGGTCCCGATTGCCGGGGGCGGGCAACGCACGTCCCGCTTAAATCATCTGGCTGGCAGCTGGAACGAAACCCACAGTGGCAACAACTTTTGTTAAACATTTGTTACCAGCAGACATACCACTGGCAGCCCCCAACAGCCATCACTTACCAGAGGAAACTAATAAAAGTAATAAAAACCGAGTGCAGAAAAATCGAACCAAAGTGACGCAAAACAAAAGCCAAGTACGTTTTATAGTCGTAGATGAGGTTGGATGCTACAAAAAATATATATTTAAAATAAAAATATCCTTTTTGGCTGAAGATTACTCATCGTAAATGACATGACATTTTATTAACTCTACTGCAGAATATTATTTTGGTCAAATTCTTTTAAAAATTCTCATTTAATTATACATATAACTAGTTAATATTTGTATTTGTTTTTTAACTAAGTGTAAGTTTATTGGTGCCAGGCACGTTTTCACAAACAAACTTTATCTTATTAAATTATAATGGCATTAATTTTAATTTGATTCAAAAATTTTTCGTGTAGTAATTCCACTTTATATCCTCTTAAAATAAATCTGGTGTTGCCAACACTGAAAGGTCCAAAAATATGAGAGAAAAAATCTGAGCCATCATAAATAAGTAAAAAAAGGATGCGAGTGGGCGGAAAAGAAAGAAAAACGGCAAAGTGAAATAAAAAAATCATACTAAACATTTTCGTTTAGTTTCCAATGACGATTTGCTGACCCACAACCCACTCAACCACCACCTCACCGCAAAAAATGTTCCCGCCTTTACGCGACTTTCGGTGCCACCTCCGCCTTTCCCATGACGGGCCACCAAAAAGGATTGCTCTATGCCATAAATTGTTGTATTTTATTGTCCAATTTCTTTTTATTATTTCTCTGAGTTTCTTTTGGCCTTTCATGGTTTTTTTCCCCGCTTTGTGTTGCTTATGCTTCATCTAGTGTTCCGTTTTGAGTTTTTTCGGGCACTTTGGGCCACATGCTCAGTTGTCCTGGTCAACTGGACCAATAGCAGGACACCGTTCAAACTTGGCCGTCGTCGCCACTGGAAAATTGTTTTTCAACAATAAAATATAAGCACATACACGAGCACACTAAAAGAAACACAAATAATGAAATCTACAAATATTTTGATATGAAAATTATATAATTATTTATTAACTTCAGTTTAAAACAATATGCAATTATAGGGAATTTATTTTATTATATTTAAGTAGTAGCTTTTTATAAAAACCTGTTCTCTTTATCATTAAATATAAAAAGTACTTGATTTTAATATTTGAATGTTAAATGTTAATTATAATATATATCAATAAATAAATAATATATATTTTTCTCTGTGTTCGCACATAAACAATTATATTCTGAATTATTAAATGGACACAAGGGTTGCTGAAAAAGTGGCCATGGAAGGATTGCTTTGTTTTCTTCGGCTGTCTGCTAAACAATTAAGAAATTCCTGAAATATTCAGAGTACCAGAGCACAACTACTCAACCTTTCTTGGCCTTGTTGCAGTTGAAGTGGAAAGTGCAGAACCGAACAAAAATGTCTTTCGTAGCGGTGCGAAAAGTTAAAAAGAAAAGTGGTCATGCTGTGGAGCAGAATAAAAGCCAAAACTGAAAATGAAAATCACACAAATCGAATGGAATTTGGTAGGGAGAAAAAGTGAACTGTGTACGATTTCATTTTCGTCGAACAGTGCGTATGCGTAACGTGGCAAACATTTTAATGAGCGTTTGCATAACAAATGCGGTTTTCCACATTCGTTCAACCAGAGAAATACCAGCCATCACCGCCCAGAAAAACCACAGCACACCCTCTGACTGATGGAAAGTGGCGGAATTTCCAGCAAAACTGAAACTGAGTAACTGTTACATGCAATTATATTTAATGATGATGTTTATTGTGAAATACACTCCCCCACATGGCTCTTTGATTGTTATTATGATGATGCGATGATGATGAGGCTATCATGATTTTTTTACCGCCCAGAAAAAGCCCATTTCAATTTATAAGAATTGATTTTGTATTAAGTAAATTGAATAATTTATAATGCATTCATTATTATGAAATCCACATTCATAACTGCCACGTCAGCAGCTGGGTCGTAAGGTGACCAGTTTTCATATTTCAGACAATTGGGTGCTCGTCGGGTAAAGCTCCTGCTAAGCTGCAAACAGATGTTCCCCATGTCCTGCGCCCCTGCCCCCAACAGCTGACCTCTTCGCTGAGGCTTTGTGCCGGATTTAGATACCCTTCGGCAGCGCACAAATAATTTCAGAAAATTTAAAATTATAGGGAAATGGTTGAGATTCTAGACTTAGTCTAGACTTACATTCATATGTTCTTCTTTGGAATTACTCAGGTAATTCTTCAGCTTAATAAACATTGAGAGTATATTTCTGCAGCATCTTTCTTTCAACAGTATCAACTCTTGTGCGCATTTTTTACTTTCGGTGCTTCAAAGTGAGAAATCTGCCCTGATCCGACATATGCTGTTGACAACCGCAAGGCAATTAATGCTTAGCACCACAAATCCTTGCCGCAGCATCGTAAAATATCAAAAAGTTTCTGAAGAGAGAAGACGAGCTCTACGCCGGAATGAATCCAATTATGTGCTTAATCACCAAGAAGTCCCACCCAAGAGGGGATCGTGGATGGGGGGACTTTGAGGGGAAAAAAGCGGTCGAACGTCGTTGACAACGCCGGGAATGTTTGAGTGTGAAGTGATGACGATGGCGACGTGTTGTCAAAGTGACAAGTGCCCACACACACTTACTTACCCACTCGCACACTCCTTCAATCTTACTTGCTCATCTACTCCCACTCCCACAGTCGTACTTTCAGTCACATACTCCGAGAAAGAATGGGGTAAGTTGTGAAATTTCACCTGAAAAAGAAACTTTCATTGGAAATAATTTAGTTCCAATAAGATAATTCATTTAACATCAAAATATTCTTTTGTTCTAGATAATTAAATATAGCTAAAAAATGTATGTAAATAATTATTAATACTTAGATACTTATGAATTTTAATTTGACTGGTATTAGGATTCTGCATAAAATTAATAAACACTTAATTTAAAAATAAAGTCTTTACATTTCATTTTATTTTATTTTTGAGAGTTTATTTTTAATATATATATTATATTAACAGTTTTAAAGTATTTATATTCACATAATGAATATGTTCGTTTTTATCTAACATACAACATATCATTTTCTGTTTGTGAGTCTTTTTTATGTAATTTATAAATAGTATTAAAACTTTTTTATTATTAAAATGTAGTTGCTCGATCATAACATATAATTTTCGAACTATTTTTCTAACGAAATAAATAAATGAAGTTATATATTAATTAGATGATTATTTGTTAATTTCAATTGTTTAAATATCCAGCATTTCTCTAACCAAATCGAGGTTGACCTAAACAGAACCTTAAGCTCGAAAGTATTCTTTTAAAGATCCGAATTTCTTGTTTCTCTCAGTGCAGCTACACTCGCAGATGTGCCTCGTTCTTCCAGGCACTTGGCTCAACATGTGGCATGGCTTAAGGCGTACGGCCGGACTGCCTGAGCCTTTAAGCATTAAATACTTTAACACACAAGCGCCGTTAAAATTTATTCATGGTCGTTTTTAATGCCAGCGCGGGCGGGGAGGGGCTGGCAGGACCAGGCCAGGACTTGACATGCAAATGTCTGAGTGTGTGTTTGCGCTGTGATGGGTGATGAAGCCCCACCGATGATTCGCCCTTTTTTTGCTGCCTCTTGCTCTCTGCTGTTATTGTTAAGCATGCTTTCCAAAAGCTATTGAATATGTAACCACCCACGATGGGTCCGAGCCTAAAGAGTCCTCTTTTCTGGCCCCCATTTCCCGCCCAAAAGGCTCGTATAATGGCTATTTTTTACACTCATTTGGCAATCAGCACTGCCAACGGCTATATTGATTCGGCAAGTTAAAAAAATGTAAATATATATATATAAGCCAATAAGGAAGATTTTGAAATTAAGTAATAAGCGAAAAATTATAGTTTCAAACATTAAATCATTTATAACGTAAGTCTATAATTTATATTTCTTGGCTGTATGGCTCTTAACAAAATATTTTTAATATTTGCCACCGAATATAGGGGTTAGAAAATTGTATAAAAAACACAAAAAATAAATTGATTTCCTCAGTATAAATACTCTTAATATATAGTGTATCCTTGTGGACTTTTGTATGCAAAATAAATA